GTTGTTGATGTATTCAATAATGGTGACTTTAAAACTATGAACACTCTTCTTGAAGAGTACCAAAAGCTCCAGGAGATGAGACCGTATTTCAACAAATGTCGAGACTTAGTTTTGAAAAGTATAAGAGATATTGTTGCAAAAATAAGAGAATCTTTCGAAAAAAGTGATATCGTAGACGCATTATCAAATGTCAAAACATTACATGAATATCGGGTTAAATTCCTAGTATTGTTCACTGATGTTGGACAACTATGTTTTGAGGTAAAAAATTAAATAAAAATGGTATTTTCAATAGCACATCATGGTTTTGTAAGTAGATTTTTAGATAATAATGTACAAAATGTTACAGATGATATCGTTAGAAAAGATTCTTCTGCGTGGTCCAACTGGGCAGTGCTGAGAATCCGAAATTATGCATCTGAGCTCATGAAATGAAATGTGCCAGATTCCATTTTCAACATTTTTAGTACTAGCAACCGCCAAGCTGAACAACAAAACTCAGGTGAACCAGCAACTGTTAAAGAGGTTGAGAAAAATTTTCTCTGTTTAATCGAATTTATAAAGTTTAGTAATGAAAATAGAGATAAATTAAAAGATAACGATGTTGATCAATCACGTTTAATTGATATGTTTCCAGAAGATTTCGATGAAAAACTGAAAACATTAAATGAACAATTAGTAAAATCTTTTGCTAAACGTGAAGAGCAATACAAAAATACTTTACAAATATTAGATATTACATCTTTAAAAGAAGTTTTAAATATGTCAAAACAGTGGGATTCTTTAATTGAGAAAATAATCAAACACAAGAGCATCTATCATATAATTGATGCTTCAGAGAATAATATTGGTAAGACAATAACGAAAGTAACACTTTTCCCACAAATTATAGATTCAATTAATGATAAACTTCAAAAACTAAAAGACGAATTGATTCATCAAGAACTTATCAATGAAGAAACAAAAAGTTACAACAAACAGAGAGATGAGTTTTATAGACAATTAAATAAAAAATTTATTGTTCTCAATAATGCGAAGGTATTCAGTAGCTACGATATACGTATCGACATTGATAGTGCTGAAAAAGAATATTCGAATTCATTAGAATTAAAAATCAAAGTCATATATTCCAGTGCTGAAGAATTTATGAAAAAATTCGTACGAGACACAGAACTCAGCAAATCAGAATATGATAGCTTTAATTTACACTATAATAATATGCTGTCATTTAAAAAGGAAATGGAATTTGCTGCTACTGATAATAATATAAAAGTTGACGAGATCGATAGTAAATTCTTTGGGAAAATTCAAATTTGGGAAAAAAAAATTGAAACTGAAATACAAGTGCCAGAGCGTGCCAAAATTTTAATAGATATGTAGCGTATTACGAATAATATTCCACCATTCAAGACTAACATAAATGAAAAAATCGATTTGATACTTGATAAATTTAAAAATTCTAAAGATTTTGGAAAATTAGGTATACTTCTTAATTAGGATGAAACTGATATAGGCCAAAATATTGTTGCAGATCATAAGGCATTTCAAGGTTATTCATTATCTTTGTTCAATGAAAAAACTCAAAAACATGGAATGGAATATGTGCTAGCTAATATAACCGGTGACATTTCAGACAAAACACGATTGAAAAGAAGATACAATGAGTTTTGTCGTAAATATGACGAATTAGTCAAACGATATCTTAAACCTAGTATTTCATTGGATCAGCTAATTGCTGATGCGAAACTGTTGGTTGGAGATGTTAAACAGCAGTCAGATCAAATTGAATGGGACACTAGTATTCAAAATAAAATACCTGAGTTAGCTGCTCACATCTTTGCACTATGGACGCTTCAAAATGCACGTCATTACTTTGAAGATGACGGTGTAGAAAATAGGAATAGCTATCTTCTTCAGCCTCATGCAGCTCAGATCATTTCGATATTCCGTATGCTCGGTATTGATGATACGAAAGAACAGTTAAGTTATAACTTAATACAAATAGAAACTGGTGGAGGAAAATCTGTGACATTAGGAGCAACAGCTTCAATACTTGCATTATTTGGTTTTGATGTATGTTGCGCATGTTATAGTGAATATTTAAGTCAACGAGATTACAAATCATTTCTATCATTATTTAATTCATTAGATGTATCGAGTCATATTCATTATGGTACTTTTAATAAACTATGTGAACATAGAGTTAATGAGAATAGTGATATTCGTCAAGTAGTTGAACAATTAATTTTGACAGATTCGAATATTGCTGTCGAAAATGCAAATATAATTAAACGTTCAAAAATATTATTAATAGACGAAGTTGATGTTTTCTTTAGTTGAGATTTTTATGGTAGTGTTTATACACCTGCAGTTAGCTTAAAAGAACCTACAATAATATCATTAGTCAATAGAGACCTGCAAACTGGTCACGGTCACGGTCACGGTCACGCGTGACCGTGACCGTGACTAATCTTTGAATAATCTTCGTGACCGTGACCGTGACCGTGACCGTGACTAATCTTTGAATAATCTTCGTGACCGTGACCGTGACCGCGACCGTGACTAGACAGATCGTGACCGTGACTGATAAATCTTGGTCATAGTCAAGCAGATCTCTAAA